GTGATACGAGGGTTCCAGTTCAAAAGAGCACAGATTTTTAAATTTCAAACAAAAAGCCTGAAGTTTACAGATAATTCTTTCATTAATACATATGTCTTCATCTCATTCAGGAGCCCTGGTGATGTAGCGGTTACTCATTGGGCTGTCTTCTGCAAGTTTCACAGTTCAAAACCACCAGCTGCTCCACAAGATGAGGGCTTTCTACTCCTGTAAACAGTTAAGAGTCTCAGAAACTCACAGGGGCAGTTCTACCTTGGCCTATTGGGTTGATCTGAGTTGGCATTGAGTTTTCAGTCTCATTAAGGATGCTTTCACAAAAAATGTACAAAACGGAGTCTTCTGGGCATATACTAGGCAATTAAACTCAAGGGAGAGGTAAGCTCAGAAGGTTATGGCAACTATTTGGGGGACTTCAAAGTGATAATCTTGATAGATTTTCTCTGGGACACAGGGAGTCATGAGGGCTTGTTAGGAAAAAAATTGATAACTGCATTAGTGAGAAAAGGGTTAAAAAAATTGCACTTAGGTGCTTCCCCATCACTCCACTCCAATTATGACAATGCGACTGCTCATTCTTTTAAAATAGTAAGAGCTGCACTATGTGAATTTCCTTGGAAAATCTTACTCCATCCACCCTATATCCCTGATCTGACGTGCTCAGATTTCTTTCTTTCTACTGTCTTTTTTTATGTCTACTTTTGTTTACTTACTATGCAAAGACATTTAACTGTTTGGATCATAACAAATTATGGGTACTACCAACATATCAATAATTATGGATTATGCAAAAATGGATAATTATGGATAATACAAATTATGGGTAATAATGAGTGGCTTTTTGCTTTCTTCATGTACAATATGGTCTTCTGTGAGGTGTTTAAAATCTATACTTGTTCCTATTCTTTTATTTTAAAATTAATTTATTAATTTATTTTTAATCAGATTTATTGGCATATAATTCATATATCATCCAATTCAATAGCTCAATCCCATCAAGAACAGTTTTACAATTATCATCACAACCAATTTTAGAACATTTTCTTCAATCTTATACTCATTGTTATTAGCCTCCCTTTTTCTCCAATCGCCCCTTCTTTTTGTTCCCCAAACTCAAACTTTAAAAGGAATATAATTTGAATCCCGAGAAGATTCTGTCATCTTAATTTTGTGCAAATTGAAATGTGAAGAATTTGGGGAGGAGGGTTAGAAAGAGGGAAACACTGCCTTTAGAAGTGTGTAGTACCTCAGGAACAAGACAAACACACATGCCCATTTTCGCCGTTCATATTAAAAATTGTACTAACTACAAAAAAATAGAAGTGTGTAGGTGAGATGGGAAAGATGTTGAAAAACAACTTTGATGTTTTTGGTTAATGAAGGTTTCTAAGATTTTGTAACAAGGTTTGTTTTTTTTTCAACTTAATTTTTTACTTCATTCTTTCATATAGATCTGTCCTTATGGTAACACCACACTGTTTTTTAGTAATAGCATCACCTTTCATGATTGGTTTCAATAAATATGATTTCTATGATAAACGAATTGTTTGGGGTTTTTTTAATCAACAAACCCTTTATATATATATATTACATATATTGTTAGCATTTTGTGAATTAGGTGAAATTTTACAGAGCAGACCAGTTCTACACTCTGTAAAACATTTATAGTTTTACATGATATAAAACATCAGTTTTACATTCAATAATTCATACACATTTTGCTTCAACTCATTCATTTTAGTTCAAACTAAACCACTTCCTCTATGTTTCCTGTTTCTATTTCCTTTCTTAACTCACTGTTTTTTCCTTGGGTAAATGTTGCCTCTTTGATTTTAAATGGTTGATTTTTAACATTTGGATTAGTTCAGTTCTAGATTTAAAGGGTAACTTAAGGGCCATGGTCTTGAGAGTTCTACCAGTTTCTATTCAACCAGTAAGCTTAATATTTTTATTAACACATATGTTACATTTATTTTATATATAACATTTAAATATTTTATATAATATATAACATTTATATATTTTAAAATTCACATGTTGTTCTACCCAGGTAAAAGCATTCAATTCTAAAGTTGGCTTCACTAATTCCCTCTTTTCTTTTCTTTTTTTTAACTTCTTTATGCCTACCCCTATAATTTTGGTATGCTCTTATAACCTGATTCTTCAAAACCTCATTGACCACTCTTGAGGGGCAGAGTCCGGAGATTTTCCCCATCACCCCTGTTAGATTTGCCCCTATTGTATTTCTGTTTAAGATTTTAGTTTGGATCAGCCTTTGTGATCACGAGTTGTCGAAGGGATCACTGAAGACAAATGGGTGCATAAGCAAATGTGGCGAAGAAAGCTGATGGTGCC